ACATTTTTATCTTGTAAGTTTGTCCATATCGCCCAGCCCTTATTACTACTACTAATACCGAGAGGGTATCATTACTTCTTCATCTGCTTTTAATCAGGATACAATAAAGAATACTGAAATTCTCAGTTTGACTTCCTATTACCATATAGTCCAGTGAGATAAACATCAGCTAGAAAACCTGGCATGTGATTTTCCACGCCCTAACAGATGTTGCAAATGTATGTGGATTCTAGAAGCAGATGTTCTAATTACTGTTATATTCATTTGTTTCCATATCACCGAGAATAAAAGTGATGTCAGCCTTCGGGGAATGTCAAATATACTATATAAACTACAATATAAACTTGCTTAGTGTAACCATATCTATAAATTACACATAACATCTAACTTTGTGTAAACCTGGCAAGGAAAACTATTTTGATGATCTGTGATATGAGTCATTTAACAATCAAAGTGCCTGGCAGTGAGTGCTAACCACAGGGCACAAGTTAAACAAAATTGTGAGCTGTGGATGCAAATAGGAGAAGACTGATGATGACACGACATGAGCACATGTTTCCAGTCGTACTTTCACTGGTCTTTCCAGACAGAACTGCTGTATTGTCCCGTTGAAAACCACTGTTACAACAAACCCTCAGTTCTTTTCAGGATTTGGACTGGAAACTAAACAGGTGTAAAACTGCTCAACATCAAATCACGTTTGTTTTCTATTATTTGTAATTTGACATCTTCTTCCAGGAAAATGTCATGAATGAAAGAATCAGCTTAAGAACAAAACTAACTGCAAAGGCAACTTCAAAATTCAGAAGTGTGTCCAACAATGTTTTCTTGCCATGTGTGATACATGTCAGAAAGAGTGAAGAATATGACACAAGCCATCAGGTATCTTATTAGTGCAACAACAGAACACATAGCCTGGGGCACAGGATGGGTGTTGGTGGTAGAACTGTCAATGGAATTTAATACAAAATGAATAAAATAACCACAATTGAGGCAAGACACAAGACAACCAACTCTCTTGACAAAAACTATTCAGTACTTTATCAATAGCCAGACATCTGCTCCACATATTCTGCTGCTAGTTGCACATCTACATGTAGCTTTCGTGGACAAGTAAAGGGACATTTGATCTCTGTGGTCTGTGGTTGTTTGGCTCTGTGTATACAGGAACAGAAATCTGATGTTTAACTCTTTGTGGAGCAGGTCTGACCGGACCTAGCTGTCAGTGTCTAGAAGCATCTAGAAGATCAGTCCTCATGTCGTTTCTCTGTGCGGTAAATGGAAGTCAAATTGCAAAATAAGATGAAAAGGATAGGTGTGAGTCATGATCAGAGCACAATGAATCAATGCTCATCTTAAGTCAGTCAAATTATGACTTTTTGTCTTTTCTTGAGACAGCGTGACAGCACTTTCTGAGACCTAGGGTCACTGGTTGTTCTATCCCATTATAAGTCCCTCCTTTGTGGAGATTTAAAATTGGACAACAATCATAAAATAAAAAAATCAAAGGTAGGCACACCATAACATGAACTCCGGACCGCACACATTCAAGCCACGTTTTGTGGAAAGCGTGAGCACAGATCCAAAAACAGCCACATCCAGAGGTACAAACACACGCTTCATTGTCAATCTGTTGGTCAAAAGCAGTTGACCTGGTTTATGAAAAGGAAAACACAGCAGAGGGAAACTATATCAAAGCCTTTCTGCGTCTTTCTTTGTGCTCCACACTCTACCTGTCTGTGAGGTTTTCACATGCAACTGCTTGCACAGCGGTGAGTAGCACAAATTCCTTTCCAGCCCTCATCCTGCCAGACCCTCTCTACCTGCCTCACACAGAGGACCCATACACCAGTCCAATCACAGTCAAACAGCATTCACTGTGAGACACATACCTGTGTTGGTGCAGCCCAGGAAATCCCAGAACTGCATGTTGGCAGTTGGTACACAGAGGACCGGACCTCTGCTCACTCGCAGCCACCACTCTCCTGCCTCTCCACTTCCTTGTTGTACTGTATGCTGTCACTTATAGGAGAGGGAAAACACCCGCCCACTGATTGTTTCTGACTGACACACCTGGGGGCTGTGTTTCATTTCTAGACTGCCTGTTCCAAACCTTTGTTTCTCATTGCCTTCCAACTACTTCTTTACTCACTTCTCATCTTAACACGTGTCTTTGTGTCTGACTGAAAACATAAAGGTGAAAACATTGATCCATCCTCAGCGTTGCTAACCCCATCTTTACCACTTCAGAATAGTGTGAGTGGATGAGATAGGGCAAGGCAAAGGAAGGAGAGAAATATAGCCACTGCTAACCACAGGCATTCTTATAAATCAGTTTGCATGGAGTGTATAAAAAAAATATGATTTATTCTTACAAATGCAATCCAAGTGAAATATATTCTGCATATGGACTCAATGATCAGAAATTAAATAAAAGGACAGGCTGAAAGACAGGTTGATTTGCACAAGTCATGTTTTTATAAATCTGACTGCAGACATGTATAAGTCCCAGGAGGAAAGCCAGGTATTGCAGCACTGACTGGATGAGCAATCGAGCAAACATTAACTAGCCTTTCAATAATATCTAGACAGAAAAGCGGTTGTGGTCACCCATGGAAGGGGAAGCGGCTGAATGAAAATGCCAAGAGAGAGTGAAAATTCTGGATGATTCACTTCTGCATCAGTAGTAAAAAGTAAATGCATACAATTTTGAGTTTATTTAATGGAAAGGGATCTGATGCGACCTTTGTCTGTCTGGACATGAATTATGTGTTCTCAGCTAAGTTTCATTTAACATCAGTGTTTTTATCCACAGTTGTGTCAAAATATCTGGGTCCTGACCCTCTGGTTTGGCTGGTGGAGTATATATATATATATTTATATATATGCAGGGATGTGATGTGGGGCGACAGTCATATGAAGGCAGGAAACAAGAGGGGGAAAAGGCAGGAAAACTGAAGGAGACATGACAGGGGCTGCTTCGACTCCAAAATCCCAGAGACCCAATTGTCAAATCACATCCACAGAGCTGCAGGGCACCATATCTCAACAGCTCGGTGTATTTTAGCTAAATGTCCAAGTAATCCAACCAAAGATGGTAAAAATAATGTGTGATCCTCAATCTAGACCTGCTTAAAATAATAATCCACGTCAATAAACCTAATACCACAAGGAGTGCACAGTACTGTGAGTGACAAAAAACACTTGAGACGCTCAGGTTAAGTAAGATCTGCCTCCTTTTGTCTCCAACCCAAACAGCAAATATCAGTCTTAGCAACTCATTCATCAACAAGACAACTACATTATTAATAACATCTCATTTTCTCCTATAGTGCTGTTGGACCTTGCACCTACCAGAGGATCAGATCGGATCAGAGAGGGGTGGTTTCGGCCACTGCACCACTGTCTGTCTGTTAGGAATACAAATGACTCCGTCCACTATTCCACATCCTCCATGTCTCCATATTCCAACATAAAACTCCCAAACCAGCTCCTAAAAATTCTCCCCCCGCGTCTTGCATTGGCGTTAACCCCATTGTCTGCCTGTGTGTGTGTGTGTGAGTGTTACCCCCCTTTAATGCTAAGCTAGCTCGGCTAACAGTGGGCTATTCCCCACCTCAATCCGCCTCCGCCAAGGGATCGATACTCACCCGCTTCAGCCCCGGAGCCCGGTCGCACCTACTCCCCGTAACCGAGCACCTTCGTTCCGGCCAGTGTGTGTGAGTTTCCCACATTCACACACTGATATGAGAACCGGCTTGGCGGCGGTGGCTGTGTGTCTCTCTCCGTTATGAGTCTCCCTCCTCCCTGTGTGTGTTTTGTCCACAACAGCGCCGTGCCCGGTTGTCGGTGTCCACTGACGCTAGCTGTTAGCGCCGCTGCTGTTAGCACCGCTGCCGCTGCTGCTGCTGGAGCCAGAGCTTTTCCAACATGGCTGCAGCTGACCCTGACAGGATCCAACACAACTTCAAGGGCCCTCAGTTATTTATTTTTTAATGAAACATCCACATTTTATTGAAATAAAGTCATGGAGTGCAAAGCTGTCCAGTCTCATTTTTACCTAAATTCATGACCTTTGCTGTGTTAGTAAGTGATCAAGTTGTGTTTAATGCAGAGGTTCTCAAAGTGTGCTCCAGGGATTTTCCAAGGGTCCTTGAGGGGGTTCCAGAGAGGTCCCTGGGAAAACAGGAAACCCTGATCTAAACCCATCTGTTTGGAATGGACTGTGCACCTGGCCTGTGGAGATGCTGGTTGCAGCTGATCTGCAGAATCTGAGGTGCAGCAAACAAACACCTGCTGCAGGACTCAGTCCGCAGAACCCTGAAGACAGGCTGCTGCACAAAGAGCTGTTCACCTGTTTTTCAAAGTTAGATGACGCTCGACTCGTCTGCAAAAGACAGAACTGCAGAATCAGTTGTTGGCGCCACTGCGTGAATTCTACCATTGACTACATTATTTGATGAGTCTTAACATGCTACAGAGCACTGATCACTCATTCATTCTAATGTTATCAATAGTTATGTATCTGGTGTCCACATTACACCAAATTTAACACTGCACTCCCTTGAGCTGATAAGATGTAAAGTTCTTAAACATGCCGCACACAGACAGACAGATTTCTCAGAATTGTTAGATTGATAATTCCATCAATCCAACACATTAACAGAATTTTAACTTTTAAAAGCAAAAATCTTGTCAAATGGGGTTTAATTTGTGTCAGTTTAGGACGTGCACAAGTTTGACAACCACTGGTTTACTGGGCCCCTTTGAGAAATAATGCACCTCTGAAAACATGAATAGAGTAACACTCAGAGAAGGGCTTATGTTTACAAAGGCAATTAAATTAAATTCTATCAAGCTGCACCAAATTTCAGGCACTCAGATATTAGGCCCCTAAACATGCCTGATTTTTTCTCAAGATCCATAAATGATTCCCTGGGAAATCAATGAAAATGTCAAAAAAAAAAAATCACAATGTTAAAGAAAGTGATAAAAAAAAAAAAAAACTTGGATTTGCCCCCTGATTTGGAACCGTACCAAAATCCGTCCTGTGGTGTTTGCGTAATGTTATTTACAAACAAACAAACAAACAGACGAGTGAAAACATAACCCTTGGTGGAGGTGGGTATTTTCAGATTTATGTTTCATGAGAGAATATGAGGGTGTCAGGGCAGGATTCTTTGGATGGTCTGAGAGTAAAACTGTCACTACCACCATCCTACTTACAACATATTATTTATAATAATGGCTGTTTGCCTCATTGGTGATGTTGTTGAATAAAAGTTGTGTAAACTGTGTTGCAAGTAGTGATCTGAAGTGCCTGCATGTAGGTATGGACAAAACAGTCATTATCTCACTATGTAACACTCTGCTGGGCGAACTTAAATTCCTCTCCACTTTGTCAGTTTCATCTTAGGTGAGTGATCACTGTGCTGGCATGAATTCAACCTTACAGTTTTTTTCAAATGCAGATGGGAATTTGCAGGATTTTGGGTTTTTATTGCGTAGCCCAATGCATCACATCACAGAGTGATAAAAGAGGAGAGGAAAGAGATGATAACCAACTGTCGTATGCTCGATTCTATGTCTCATGTTTAAATGAAATCTTAAGAGATTTCTGTCATGCATTATTCATCACAGTATCATAATGTAAGCCAAACAAAAGAGGCTTTGAAATAAAGATGCAACCCCCCACCCTACACACACAAAGAGAAAGAGAGACACACACACACACACACTTGTAAAAACTAAATAATTGTGATTTGGATTCTGACTGCCTTCATGCTGTCTTGTATCTGTGTCTCCACTGTCTCACAGTCACAGCACCAAAACAATCCATCTACACACATTCCCACCCACACACACACTACATTTATGCATGCAGGCACACACTACATTCAGAGATTATTTTTATCCACTCAGAAAAGTGATGATGGTGCGAGGGAGGGTCACACTTAGGTGGATTAAAACTCATGGCACCAGAGTTGCATCCTTTCCACTGGGTCACCGGTATACCTCACAAATACATTATGCATCTGGCAGTCACACAATTGGGCAGCTGCTGGGGAAAACATATTATAGTTATATGAATTCAGTCCGTTCTATATAATAAAACTACATGGGAGAGAGAAAAATGAGTAAATCAAACCTGAGCCAGTTGCAGTTCCAGCCCCTCCTCTACTCAGTAATACTGTATGCAGTAAAACTTCACTGTGTACTGTAAAGAGGGGATGCTTTTCAACGACTGAATTGATCAACATTAATAGTAGTGTTGTCAGTAAGGAATGATTCCTGTCCTGAAGGATGTATTTGTTGAAAGTCTCAGGGACCCAGCAGCACATAATACAAACAAATAAGAATTATAAAATGTCCTTGATTCTGCCTGACAGGAGAAAGGTATATAAGAGCCATAACAATGTACTAAATTGGTGATGTGAAAAAAAACTGTGATGCTGGACAGAAGTTGAATTCGCATCCAGTGTGATGTGAACGCAATGATAATGTTGGTTTCACAACCTAACCCAGTAAACCGTAAACGCATTAGAGGGCTCTACCTAGTGGCTAGATCACAGAAGTACAATCTACAATCACAGAAAGCTGCAAGTACATGTATTTTGTTTACAGTAGAATGTTTAATCACAGATAGAGACAAGAAATACTTTAATAATTTTTGTAACATATGTAACATATCATTATATTAACTATAAAACTGTATATAACTCACAGGAACACCGAAAGCAGGTCCAATTTAAACCATTATTGTGAACTACAATGTTATAAATACACAGCTATCACAGTTGCATACAATCGATACATATCTCAGCAGTTATGAATATAGAGTTTTCACACTGGCAAAAACTTTATCTTTACATATTTCTTTTACTCATTACATAGAAGTACACATTTGAGTTAGCCTGAGGATTCGTTCTTTAAAGACATTTAAATATATTTCCGTGTTTATGTTGTGTATTCATCAGAGAGTGCTGAAGCTTGCAGGTCAGGGTCAAAGAGGAAAGAAGGAGGGAAAAGTGGTAAAAGGTCGACAAATGCAAAGATATGAGCAGAGAAAGAGAGGAAAACATAAGGTGAAGAAGAGAGAGGAGGGATAGAGAAAAGTCACATGGAGGTATGACCTGTGACCTTTCACCCAGAGATAGTGCAGATAAAAGGGCATCGTTGAATGAAGATGGGTATAAAGGGTAAAGTGAAGCCAGAAGATATATTTGGGAAGATATGATGAGGTATAATTTGAATTAAGTGCATGGGATTGGATTTAGTGCCCTATGTGCTCTAACAAGACACTTCAGTGGACTTTGAGATGCTGTTGCTCAAATTATTAATGGGAACACTCTCCATGGAAACGTCAGTGTGTGAGCGCCCGCGCTTCTCCTCCGTGCCCTGTGAGTGTGTTCGGCCTCGCTGCAAATCGTTGGTGTGTGAGCGGCTCCGGGAACCATCGAAGGACGAGATGCTGGAGCTGGATGTTGTCCGAGAGCGGAGTCTGGTCATACTGGCACAAGACACTGGAGGTAGAGGAGAGACATGTTGGTACTATTCTGCATCTGCCATTTTTTAAGATATTTTCGTATGAACATGTTATTTTATTTTCAGGAATATTACTGATATAGGTATATAACACAATATCAATTCAACCAACAGTAAATTAAGTCAAGTGAATTTAATGTTAAGAGCTAAATACCCGTGGTGAGGTATGGATAAGTGATGTAGTGATTGGTAAGAATCAAATTAAATCAAAAAGGAATTATCATGAGAAGCTTTCATAACTGAACAGTCACCTGCAGAAAATTAAAGAATAAATAAGGTTTATTATTAAGTTACAGTTACTCACAGTATCCCATGCCCTGGATGAAATATTTGAAGGCTTCAATCACTTTGGCTGGCTGCGGAGAGAAAGATGAAAAGTGTTAAACGCATTTCCAGCTGTGGAGATGTGGAAAATCTACCGTGTTGTCAGCAGAGTGGCCAATAAAATGTCACAGCCTACCTGATCCACATGAGGAAGTCCTCCACAATCTGACATCTGGAAGAGCAAGACACAAACAGATGTCAATTTGTTAATTTAAAAACTGAAAGTATTTCACTACAGTCCAAGTTGTTTCAATAACATAAGTTATTTCTTTATGTTTCGTTCTCTAATTCTTTGTTTGTTTGTTTCATGATTGAATCAGTCGTCTGGTTACCTTGAGCAGTGTGGTCTTGGTGGGGTTGAGTTTAGAGTTGCAGTCGACAACAGGCTCCACAACGGGAGAATTATCTCCTACAACCAGCAGAGAGGGGCACCTGTCAAACAACAGATATACATGTGTTATATAGACAGAAAAGTCAAAGACACATGGTTTGACTGAGCCTAACATATTACAGGATGTGGATTATTTTTATTGGTGAAGATGGAACTTGCCGGGTACATCTAGATTCATTTCAGGCCACGAACTTGACAAGAAGCAATTGCTTTTAAGCCTAAAGTCTAATGGGAAAGAAATCATGTCTCACTCACTTGAGTGTCCTGACAGTGATGTGTCCCCCAGGAACAGGCCGCTCGACGTCCAGGGCGTTGCGGCTGTTGTAGGAGCGGAAGAACTGAATCACGTTGGACTGGTTCATTGTTGTCGTGATGTGGTGACGGTACGTTGCGATGAGGTCATGGTTGGTCTGGATCTCCTCCTGAAAAATCAGTTTAGAAATAAGACAGAGAAATTCTGTGTTCCACATGTTAAAAAAAAACGAAATACATTAATAGCCATTTTCATCAATGTTTTTTATTTAATCAAGTAATCAATCTATTTATATATGGAGTTATTTATTTACTATTGTTTTTATTTTGGCCAGTTCTACTGAATTTTTTTCCATGTATGTTTCCACTTCTTGTCATGGTAATGGAACCCAGTCATTACAGAGGAGGCCTTACCTTTCCAAACAAGTGTGAGATAACTGCGTCTGGGAGAGTTTGGGTCCATTCAGTGATCTGCAAAGCACAGAAGCAAATATACAAAATTTGGATAAATACAGGGATCATTGGAGTATAACAATCAATATAGATGATCTCACACACACACACACACACACACACACACACACACACACACACACACACACACACACACACACACACACACACACACACACACACANCACACACACACACACACACACACACACACACACACACACACACACACACACACACACACACACACACACATTGTTTACCTTGGTTGCAACACTATCTATCAGTCCTTCTGCGTTGGGGTTGATGTTGATCAGAAGTAGTCCATCCACCATATCAGGATGATTTAGCTGCACAGACATGGACATCCACAAGTCATCTCATTTGTTCTTTTCTTACTGACAAGATTAGAGATCCAAATTTTATATTTTCCAATAAGGTGTCAGATTGTGTTAATAGGATTTTGAACTCACAGCGAATTTAGCCAGGATGTAGGCCCCGGCTCCGACTCCAAGTCCAATCACACTTCGCAGCCTGCAGAGCAAACAGTCAGATGTTCAACAGGCTCATCAGACAACTGCCACTGGTTCATTTAAAGGAGAGCCCAAACAAAATGAGTCTTACCCAAAGTGTTTGAGGACAGCGGGGAGTGTTTCAGACAGTTGGTCCACGGTAGGGTAGGTATACCTGAGAGATCAAAAACATTCATGAATTATTCATTTTAACTGTGGAAATTCATGTCAAATAATATTTTAATTAAAGCTTTAAATACAAGAGACAGTCTCCTTACGTAGCAGGGAGAGTTCTGGCCCCCTCATGTTGTCCTGGTGCATCAACGTGACAAACAGGAAAATGTCTGATGATTTCCTGCATGTCCTCATGGTTGAAGAAAGTCTCAAAACAGGTCTTATCTACAGGAAAGAAAAACAAAACAATTATTGACTGAAATGTTTCCATACAAAATGAGTGTATGTGTGAATGAGTGTATACGTAATTGAAAATGTAGGTGAATCCTGAATTACAGTACAGACTTACAGTTAAGTCCGACATCGTGAAAGGTCAGGATGACGGGGCGGCCTGCCCTGGGCGTCCCTGTCATGACGCAGTGGACATTTCCAAACAGAGTCTCCACATACTCTTCCTAAAATAAAAAACAGATTTATATATCAGTTTGTATTGTCCAGTGGTCCATTGTGGTTCTGCCCTGTACAAATTATTGAAAAGCACAAATTATATTGTAGAGGACATCTGACTGTTGGTCACAGAAACGATGATCTGCACAGTCTCTGCATTTGTATAATTGTATGACTGTAGATTATTTTAACTGCAAGAAAAAGGAATGGTTTTTGAGGGAAAAGTGCATCTCCCTGGTTGACCTGTGGTTTCTGTTTCAACTCAGACTTTTTGTTGACCTTGTGTCATCCAGTTAAAAATACTTAACTTTACAAGCATTACAGCAGTGATACTCACTATGACCTGGGGCTCGAAGACAGTGTCACACTCGTTCTCCTCCATTGCTGCTGATGCAGTGTAGATGAAAAAAGAAGGCAGAGGTCGTCTGTGTAGAGTGGATTTAAGATCCTTCACTTCCTCTAGATTTCTGAATCAAATTAATTTGTCTCCTAACTTGTATTCTTGGACCTCTGCAGTCCTGTAGTAAGACACGATTTTGATTGTGTCGAGAGTGCAGTACAGTAAATGTGTGACGGACTATGTGTTTGAGCTGGTTTATATATCCTGTGACACTGATCTGTCACTAAGCCCTAACGCAAACCTTCAACTGATCTCTTCCAGGTTTAATCTGACCTCAGGCTGCTGCATTCCCACAGAGACATCACTGGCTTTCTTCAGGGAATTAACAAGCTCACAGACCACATCTACACCAGCAAAAACAGAAACTTCATTGTGCAGTTTTCATGCACCTTAGTTGATTTTCATAAAACAATATTCAGCTGTAATGATTCCCCACAGTTCTAGAGTTTGTGTTCTGACATTTGTTTCCATCTTTTAAACTTCTCCATTCAAATTGTCTACGAACAACACATGAAAATCTATCAAAGCAAGCAAACTGTTGCTCTGTAGTAGAATAAATCTGATCAAGTGTTTCTTGGAATATTCTTTACACTAAAATTTACAAGTAAAGCTTGTCATGTTTTGCTGTAGGGCATCAGGGGGAATCAAACACACCTTCAGCCAAACCAGGAGCAGGTCAGCTGTCTAATCTCAGCTTGCCATCTGTTCCTCACTGCAAGACACTGTGTCCGGTGTCTCAGTGACCTTGACCCTCCTAATAACCAAGTATATCAATCTGGATACAGCCCTGAACTCTCTGTCTATAACGTAGTTCTTACAAAGCACTCTAAAGCTAGTGTGAACTCCTGCAGCTTACATAACATAAACAAAACAACAAACAGGTTAGTGAGTGTGACTTTGAAAAGGTTAATGCAAGGGTTCGTCTGAGAACAATCTTTATGATTTGCACCTCATTTCGTTTTTAAAGCTGTTTTTGAAAATAATGATTGCAGGATTCAACCTGCCATTGGTGTATGAACTTGAACCGGTGATGAAAAGAAGTAAAGGTGATTAATATATAGAGACAAATACACACTGCCAAGAATAACTTGGGACTTTTATTTTTATTTGCTGGGTTAAACTGTACTTTTACAAAATCTAACATATTAGAAATCAGTAGAAATAATGAAGAGGTGAATATGGGGATTTCTCTTTCTAAAATCAGTCTCACACAGATTGCATGAGAATCTTTCACAGCCTATTAGGTTGGCTTTCCAACACAGATGCAAACACTCAACTCCTCATTAACACTGTATATTACTGTCAAATCTATGGCAATTAAGCGACAATATTAAAATCAAATATTTTTGGAGTCACTTTTAAGGGAGTTTGGGAAGTATCATATTGTATTCTCAATTAAAAATCTAATAATCACTTCACTGTGTGGCAATCCATTCCTCAAACATTATAATATGAGGGGAAATAAATAATTTATCAGTATAAGTGGCTGACAAGGAAATCTGATTTAACTTTTTCTGCACTGTACCTCTAAGGTTGACAGTTGTATTTCATTTAGTTTTTAAGCTGGCTGAACGGAAACACGGCAGACCAAGATGTAACAGCACCACAACCCTGAACACACACATCTAGTTGAGAGCTCTGTGCGTACAGCACATTTAATCCATTTAGTGATGGCTGAAGAGCAGAGGGCGGCAGATGGGTCTTACTCAGCCTCACGTCAGTCTGAAGCCATTTTAACATCATACTTACCCTGACTAAGCTCTGGCCTGCTAGCCTATTTCACCATTGACTGCTGGGCCATATTTCTCTGTGTGTGTGGTGATTAAAATTGTTTCCATGACAATGGTTACAGAGAGCAGTAGCAGTAAGCAACACATTTATCACAGTATGATAGAACATATGATTCATAATATAGCATATTTCTTTCTTGCTTCTGAAAAAAACCCACCGCTAGCCTATATATTGCAGTCATATGAAATATTTGTAATGAAACACCTTGATACAAATATTGTCTAATACGACAGCAGTTAATTAAAGCAAATAATCTTCTCACTCTATTAACTCCCAACATTTCTAACCACATTCAATATGTCTGCAAGTTAAATTCCTGTTAATTCAAGAATCACAAACAGATGAAACACATTCTACCATCCACACTGACGATACTTAACATACATACTTAACAGTGTCATATTTTGAATTCAATATTACTGTGAACTCACACTCAATAGGAGATGCATTTGAGGCTTATGTTAGGGGGGTTAAAAATATATTCAATATTAATAGCACACTTAGAAATGGTATGTGAGCATGTGTACAAAAGTTTATATGACATTCATATATATTGAAAGACTGAACATTAAATTACTTTTCCATCCAAGCATCATTCATTTTATTTTGTTGTGATTTTCCTATTATGACACGTCAAAATGCGAAAAAGACTAAATGTGATTTCTTTAAGTATCCATCAGACATTTATTCAGAATCTTCTTTTTTATATGTCACATTGCCAATAATAAATAACATAAAAAACACATGTATCATAGATCATAACAGTTGTACTGTAAGTAAAATTTGCATTAGTCAATGTGCCATTCAAAGCTGTAAATGGGCTAAAAGTTAACCTAGAATAAATGCAACTCGATCCCTTTATTTGGTCTGGAGAAGAGAATCAGATCCCGATGTCAAGCTTGTGGCATACTTTGCACCTTTGTGTAAGTTCAAAGTGTTGTCCACTAGATGGAGTTTGATGTCAATGAAGCAGTGTGGAAACCTTGAGACGGTCTATGAAGTCAACAGGCAGCTTGAATGTCAGAGGTTAATCCCACTGTTTTGTTTTTCACCTGATCAGCCTTAGTTTTCACATTATTTTTGTTCAGTAAGAGTTTGTTCTTTTATTTCTGATATGCACACTAAAGTGTTATCAGCTGACCAAATGAGTCTTAAATGTAACATGGGCTGCTCATACAGTTTTGTAAGATAGTTCCCATATGTCATTTTTCATTCTGCTGAGTTCGTGAATTAGCGTTTATTTTTGTACGTGTACTTTCACGTACATAAAATACATTGGGGCACAAAGATTGAGGAAATCATTAGGAGGTTGTTGTTTTTTTTATCATGGAAACCCATGTGGGTGTGTTTGTTCCAAACAGAAGGGGTGGACAGTGAGATGGAAAGTGACCAGTAATCCAGAAATCCTAGCATATGGTGAAGTGATCATTGAGTGATCGTTGATTGTGACTTACAGGTATTGAAATATAACCTCATATATAACCTCCTACACACGTGTTATCAACATTATGTGTTGTGAGTCTGAATTCATCTCGTTTGTTTCTGTAAAAACAGGGTTCATGACGACACGTGTCCCACAGTTGTTTTTCATTCTCTTAAAGTCATTTCTTCACCGAGCCGACATACACATATATACACATATAACTGGTATTATAAAGTTGTATTGTCATACTGACCACCGGTTGTCATGGTAACTCTTCAGTCTGCAGGTGAAAGTCCTGCTGTCCGACTCTCAGCTTTCAAAACTGTCTAATTATACACCCAGCAGCTGCTGCTGCTTGCCACATGCTTGACTGTGTGTGTGTGTGTGTGTGTGTTAGGAAGTATGCGCAGGACTTTCCTCTCACTCTGTGTACGTGAACATATGTGAGTTGCATAAGCATGTTTTTTAGGGTGTGTGCATGTTTATGTGCAAAAACACATTTGGCCTTTCCATGAATTTTATAATGTGTTTCGGTGTAAGTTTATTCCGAGACAGATTTAGTTACACACTTCTGATTTGAGTTTAGGCATAAAGGTTTGATGCCTTAGACCATTTTTTAAAAGCAATAAATCCATCGATCTGATTCAGGTCAACCAATAATGTTTTTTTTCCTGTTTCATTTTGATTAATTTTAGAATCACTAAAAGACGAAGCCATCTAATTATTTATTTAGTTTGTTTAATGTCATGTCACACAATCTTCTTGAAACCCTTCAGATTTGACTTTTATTAGAATGGTTCAAAACAGGAAGCCCTTGATCAATTGTCCAATCCTCCGCAGAGTTCACTGTTTCCTCTTAGTCCTGGCCAATGAGAAGCTTAGTTTCTCAGCACAGTGATGCAACTGTTAGGCTACTATGCTACGCCACAAAATTGATGTATAAGATATGTATAAGATATCATCATATTATGATTATGTGCTATTCAGATGTCCTTTTTTTCCCCGAGTCATGAAACACATAATGTGATCTTACTTTGTAAAAGAAAAAACTGATTGGAGTGACTGTGCTTCCCTTTCATATCCAGTGTCTTCCTGGTTGCTCAGGGAATTACATAGTATTTCACACTGCTGCATGAGCAGGGACTGAATTACAAAATCCTCAGAGGGAGGGGGATGCACAGCATAGCTGTATATATCAACATGGTAAATGGGTGTAAATTCCACTCGCCTGCAATCCCACTTTGTTCATTCATCAGGAATGAATGACACAGGACCAGACTAGTGGTCAGTTGTCAGAGGATTGACCTCTTTCCTGAGTAGTTTGCAGATACACATGGACTTTCAGTCATCATTTAGGGCAATAATTATTCTCTAATAATAAAGACATTTCTGTTTGTATTGTCAACTGTATTTTAAACTTATGGCTGAAGTAGAAGCGCTAGTAGCTGCTGTAGGTCAAAGTTATACCATATATTCTAGTTATGTCACTTTAGGTCAGCCCTGCTCTTTAGTAGAGGCTATGTTTGTCTTCATCAGACACAAATACAACAGGGACAGGCCAGATTAGCACTCCTCTGTAGAGATGATAGGTGGTTGAAATAGCCCCAGACATTGCATAATGCCAAGAATAGTCTACTAAGAAGAACCTACTTCCACAACAACATTTATTCAATCTGATGAGGATTAATTAACCTAAATATGCACATTCATGCCCAGTTTTAAATCTATTTATTTATGCACATTTATCTTGCTTACCTCCAGCAAACAACTCAGAGTTGGGCAGCAGCATCTTTCACCTCTCATTGCGTTTCTGTCATAAACACTTATAACTTAATGACTCAAATATTATTATATTATTCTTCGGGACTGGAACAGTAAATGATTTTAGTTTTTTAACATGTCCAAATGCAACACTATGTTATATTTTAAAATGAAGAACAAGATATGATGTGAAGGATAAGTTTGGCTTGACTGCAGATCAAGTGAGGTAAAGTGCTGTGGTTATATTTTTCATCCCTCCTATCGCTGATAGGTTTGATATGAGAAAACAAGGCAGTAAATTATCTCATCGCTGTGAATTTAGTCCAACTCTGGGAGGAGGCTTGATAATGATTTATAATTACCACGTTCATCATCATCAGCAAAGTGTTTGGTTTGTAAAACAAAAAAAAAAGGCCTGAGCACTTCCTTGGCATTTCCTTGTGGTAGAAAGGATTCAAAGTCTTTGCAGGTCATCCCATTGCTCACATAAGTGTGGGAGTGAGTCCACGGCCAAGGCCCAAGCTGGCCTCCTTTAGGCTCCTCAAAGAGCACAAGACTGCCAGCTGAAGGATGACCTACAAGGTGGCAGCTCACATTTCCAGAAGCCGTTGCAGCAACCATGTTTAGGCCGGTGCTCTGCCATTTGTAGGCTCAAAACAGATGGTCACATGATGTGGGAGCTGACTGTTCCTCAGGAGGATCAGAGAGAAGAAGAAGCCCTGAGAGGAACATGAGAGCTTTACTTCTGGGAAACAATGATGACATGGAGGTGGCAACGATGTCTCAGGTGTATAATTAGTGTGGACTTTATAGGAGTGTTGCAACATAGATGCTTTTTAAGGTTCCCAAGCATTACTGCAGACCATCTGATCTGACATCTTCCTCGATTCTTGTTGTTCTGGGTTTGTACCCTTGTGGTTGAATGCACTTACTGTAAGTCACTTTGGATAAAAGCGTCAGCTAAATTAAATGTAAGGTAACATGGGCCAAATATAAAAAAGTTGTCACAACGTCCAATTTGATTATGGATGTTAACTGTTGTGATTGGTCATCAGAAAAATACAGTTCTGTTTCAAGTCATTTCATTTTCAAAGTTGTGATGATGCAATTTAATAACATTTCAAAATCACCACTATGGTTATATGGAACCAGGCAATTAAACAAGTCTATCATATTGTAGTTCAAAACCAGCTCAGGGATAAATTAAAATCCCAATAAATCCCAGTTTAAATTTTAAAAATATTAAACGTGTATCCAGAGGTTTTAAATAAATAAAATTCTATTTCTAAATTTTTAATTTAAATGTGTCTTTTCAGGAACTGTATGATTGTATCTGTAACTCAATATTTAACTTGTATTGTTGTATTTTGTGCTCCAGTCAACCCATGTTCTATCCCCATCACATTTAAAAAGTTGTGAAATGTACCATTTCACTTCTGTCACTCAACAAGGCAGAGCTGAGTCATCTGTCTCTCCATCTTATTTTTTCTTCTTGCTGAAGGTCTTTATCTGTCACTTTCTGTTTGGAACTTGCTAATCACCACTCGTGTCTATATTTATGCTTGTTATCACAATAAAAAAAGGGTGACAGGTCACCACAATGAAAATCAGCGGGATAACACGGGAACATGATACAGCAGCCAAACATTTGGCATCGTAATGCATGCAGCGAACACGTAGCTCCAGCCCTGACAGCAAACAATCACACAGAAAGTAAGCTAAGCAGAGATAGGATGATTCAAATTGTAATGCAATGAGCAGGAAAAGTGTTTGAATAGCACTGCAGCTAATTATAACCATGTTTTTTTAAAGCTGTGCACATAGGTAAACAGTCATGTTCACTCCAGCTCAAAGTGATTGATAGTCAGGTGAGGCCCCAGCTTTAAAAAGTCTGCGCCCATGACTGCCTTGTGACTCTCTGGAGTCACATAACCTCGTAAACACACTGGATGAGGACAACTTCAACATGAATCCTAAAACCTACAAAGAAACCCCGGGAACTTCATGGTTTTATTGAAAATAAAGAAAAACCTGCCTTAGTGTGACTGGTTGACAAAATGTGTTTTTATTTTGTGTTTCTGGATGAACACAGTGACTGACAGCCTGCACATCTACACTGTGGGGTTGGCTGCAGCGGAACAAAGAACCAGGTACTATTGTCAGTCAAGGAGAAAGTTAATTCCATGAACTGAGGCTCAAAGCGTTCGTCCAATCTGTCTGCCAGCTCTGAGGACCATCTATTTTTAGTGTTTCAGGGAGGGGAGGAGGGGGAGAGAGAGGGGGAGGCGAGGAAAACAAGAGAAGTTCCAGCCAGACGTTCACGAGAACAACAAATAGAACAAAAGAAAATGGACTAAAACACTGTTCTGCATTTATATGTCAATGTGAACTGTATCATGTGGTTAGACCTCATATTCATCAGTCTGTATGAAGGGGTGAGGAGAAGGGAGGAGAAGTAAGAAGAGGGAGAAGCACCTCTTATTTACCCAGCAAGTGTCTTTTGGAAGAGGGGAGGGAGGAAGAAGGAGAGTGGATGAAGAGGAGGAAAGGGAGGATGAGGAGGAAGGAGTGGAGGGGTAAGTGAGGCTCTTTTATCTCTCTATCTCTCCCTCTCTCTCTCCCTCTCTCTCTCTCTCTTTAAGAGCATTAACTGTAGAGTGTTCTGCTGGTGACAGGGCTGTCAGGGTCAGATGGCTGCTCAGCCTGATTAGACCAGCTCACAGCAGATCCTCAGCCCCGACACACTGCACTGCACTGCCACAGCAAGGTATAGAGCTGTCCACTGGAAGATACTGTGCACTGCAAGCGACAGGGTGGGAGGGTTGAGGGTGAGGTTGCTCGTCTGCGTAACAGTTGGGGCAGAGCTACAGGTTGTTGCTGCTTCACTGGCTCAGGCTTCAGCTTTTGTAGTGGCAGAAAAAGAGAAGAGAAAAGCAGTTGGACTTCACTTCATTGTGTGGCACAGGGGAGTGGATGTTTAGTCTGTGTCTGGAGATGACATTGAAGAGCTGACTGGTAAGGATACACATTTGCATTTGTTTTGTTGCTCTTCAAATTAATATCATATTTGGCTCCTGATGCGGATACATAGCCAGAGTGGCGCCACGCTGCAACAGGTTCTGCAACTTTGAGAAAAACAACTTGAGTGACCGATGATGATGTAGTCACAATAATGATTTACATGCATTTTCACTGCAGAGATAGTGATCACAGAAGTTCACTGCAACTCACTGGGAGCAGGAGGACGAGGGTGCGCTGGCATTTGGTGACTGCTGTTCCCACAAAAAAATTTGATGTGTCACAGAATCAGCTGCCAGTGTAGATACAGCTATAAATACAGCTGCAGGTATTCAGTGTCTACAGGGGTTGGCTATAACAGGCAGTCAGCTGGTTGGATGTCAGCACCCAGACTGTTGCAGGACTTTTGCTGCTGCTTCTGCAGGACTATGGTGGAACTGTCAGTTGGTTGGTGTAAATTTCCCTGTTCTGCAGCCAAGCTGTCCACTGATGTGAGAGGCAGGGCTGTGCAGCTGCACATAAACATTTCAAATCCAGGTATTCTCGCTTGGAGCTATTACAGAAAACCCTGTTCTACAGGTGGAAGAATGTCGAAGGTGAATGTGCTGTCACAGGATCGAACCTGTTCGAGGCTACTACTAACTTGGCGTGTTGTTGTCTTTATTGCTAACAAGCTTACTGTGTCACATTCACCCTCACGTTAGAGGTACTATAGAAATGTTTGGCTGCTTAACACGGCTGCAAGATAATATTGAGATCCATTTTTAACTCAATTTGAGTCCTAAGTCAGCCTGGGGCAGGGAAACATACAGACAGTCACACACATGCAACTTGGAAGCTCCTGTTTTTACAAACCAAACTGTGCTCTAAGGTAACAGGGACGATCGGATTTACAGTTTTAATTGGAATTACTGCTACTGTCTAGCCGCTCTACTGCTATATGGCATGCTCTTTTGATTATGTATGTTATTTTTACATGAAGTCAATCAGCTAAAGTTAGTTTAGAGTTAGTATTTTTATTTGATTCAGGTGTAAATACTAGTTTATTTCTTCCAGTAAATGAATTGCTTTGTCTTGTCTTTGCCTCCAGTTTTTTTATTCTGCATGTTTCGCTTTTCATTCTGTTGTACCAGATGTTTAATAAACAGAAACGGAAATCTCTATAAATTTCAGTAGAGGAAAAAATAAATGTCGGTTTTACATTATTCTGAATTGACCTCTATCCTGTTAACAAAGGATAAATTCCTAATTATGGATGGTCAACAACCTGGAATAGATTACTCTCTTCTGGAGGAGTGAGGGAGTAAGTTGGCATGTGATCATGAAATGTGTGTGTGTGTGTGTGTGTGCGGGCTGTCAGAGCAGGGGTTAAGAGGTGACTACAGATTACCCAGATTACCTCTGGGCTTTCCCTAGTTGTTTGTCTGAATGTTTGGGCATGTGAGTGGGCGGAGGGTCCTCAATACCTCTGCTCACTGTCGTCAACTGTGAGAACAACTGTGTATTTGATATGCAAAGATATTTTACTAAATGAGCAAATAGAACAGAATTACAGTAGCAGAAGACATTTTTTTCACTGATCTCAGTCAATTATCAGGGGGAAAGCCTGAGGGAACTTTGTGTCAATTCAACTACAACTGGTATTTTCCTGCAGGATATTATATTTCTCAGTTATTAAGCTATTGAGTGGATGTAATGCCTTGTTTTGATTTCTAAAAAAAGCTGAGGAAATGACATTATACTTTCAGAGCTGTGGCCATTCTTCATCTCACTGGTTTGCATGTAATAAATGGAGCAAATGTGAATTTTCTGCAAACACGCTTTTTAGAGTTTGTTGTCGATTTTTATCCTCAGAAAAAATTAGATTTAGTTGATATTGTGCAGGCTAATCTAATACAAATTTTCCATATTTTGTAAACCCCTTCAAATATTCAATTTTGGAGCTCATGGTGTATCTGTCATCTTTTGAGTGCATGTCTGTTTAAGTTGCCATTATTACACATAAGGTCTTGATATATGGTAAGCCTGTAAAAATCTATATAATGGCTTCAATAAAAGCATAAAATCTTTAATTGTGTATGTATGTATTTATGTTTTTATCTCTGCTGAATTACTGAAATCATATTATCATGAGAATATAAGTTCAACGTTTGACCAGTTTATGCCTCTGTGTGTTTGTTACTTCAGAAACGCTGGTTGATGGAGTTTGTGCAGCAGAGTGGTGACTACTGCCACGCCCAACACGTTTAGACCCTATGTGGAGGAAGGTGGACTATGCCGTCCTGGGGCCCTGAACCCCGAAAGACCATTGGCCTTTGCCCTCTGAACCAGCCAGCTCATGGGGTAACAAGTGGAGTCTCGCTCACCAGAAGATAACTGGAGAGAGGGGGAGAGAGAGAGAGAGGGGGAGAGGACAATCAGAGAGATAAAAACAAAGAGTGGAACACGGAGAGAACTGACACTGTAACCTGCCGGACTATAGGATACAGTCAACTGATGGTGTAAAAGAGTCAAGACAACAGCACCGTGGAATTGTGACAATAACTTCAACAGCTATAATCAGGAAGTTCCACCACGGACAGGAAGTCCAGAATCACCTGAGAACTGATACAAGTAGAAGACAAAGCAGGGAACTGCTACAGCTGGGGCTAAAGGTGAGAGGTAACTGGTGACCAAATATGGTGTCGCACCAGCACTTTTAACTCCTGCACTTTACAGACTTGTTCTGGTGTTCCACACATGGCTTGTCAGGATATGCGCTGTCCTACATTTATGTACTTTCATGCGTGGACTCTGGTATCTCCTATATAATTCTTATCAGTGTTAAAATAGTAGGCGTGTACACCTGTAATAATGTGAGGCATCACTGAATTACAATTATTATTATTTCTTTTTTTTTCTTTTTCATTACAACATAACAGCTTTGCAATCCATTCAGTGCAAAATACAAAATAAATAAGTGTGTAAAATGTACACATATACTTTTTCAAACATACATGGCAAAATAGGTCTTATTTATATTTCAATTATATCATAAAATAAACTCACATCCCTGTTACCTTCATCAAAATGCAACAAGAGCAATGCAGGTCAAGGGGCTGCTCCAATGACAGCTCTATAGTATACATTCAGTATACTTGTGAAGTAAAGTGTCATGGTAATAATTTTAAATAGAAACACACCCACGTACACACTCATGCCAAATCCCTATCAGTCAAGGTTTAACAGCTCCATCCAAAAGAATTTCACACAGCTGTGACAGTATTCTGCTCTTTCTAATACATGGGTTTTCAGTTAGACCAGGTTGACGTTGGGTAGTGCTCTGATGAGTTCACTCACCTCAATGCACCAATAGGGATGCTACACATGTTGTTTTCTTTATCTAAACAGCAGCAATAGGGTCATGAGGAAATGTCAGTCAAGCACAGTCTGTACAGAGTCACATAGTCCAGAGCATAGAATATAAGATGGGTGACACTTCTCCACTTGATCCCACGATCCAGAAAGAAGCCAAAATATCTCAGATACAAATGCCGCCATCTTACGCCAAAGAGTCTGTGCAATAACAATCCAAGGAAGCATCGATACACATGCTCGACCAATCATGAGTCAGTCTCAGCCGTCAATCGTGATGTTTCACACCATTTTAAGATCATCAAATAACAAATTGAAACCAAAGTTACCAGAAATAAGAACACTTGAACATATATGAGTGCAGCAGCTAGTTTAACATAAATCCTGGACGTTGGAGGAAACAGCTTTACTGTCTGGACATAAATATTCTGCCAATTAGCATCTCTAGCCTTTACTAATTTACTAATTAATTACTAAATGTTGTTTATGTTGTACAAAAACAAAAAGTAAAAATTACAACTTGTCATTTCATTGGTCGCTCTCAGTCTTTTTGCAAAGCTCAGAAAAGTTAAGCTGATTGCCAGATGGCTCTACATTTATATTTGGCATCGTAATTGGACTGTATTTATATAGAGCTTTTTTAGTCTTATCGACTACTCAAAGAGATTTACAGCACAAGCCACAACCCATTCTATATGCTGAGCTTCTTCGATCACACAATGGCCGTAAGGGGCAATTTGGGATTCAGTTCACTTTGGCATGCAGACTGCAGCAGCCGGGGATCAGAGCACCGACACCCTGGTTTATGGACAGTCCGCTCTAACCCCATAGCCACAGTCGCCCACAGCCACAGGTGTTTTTTGTCTGTTGAACAATAGCTTTAGATCATAGATGCATGTAAAAGATGTTTGAGTTTACACTTTACTGAGTTTACTAATCAATACATGGGGATTTTCGTCATTTATTATATCATGTGTTTGATTTTAATTGGCTTTAAAATCTGCTCCAAACATAGCTCACATATTTGAAATCATAGGTTTGTCCCTGACACTGAGCTTATGATCAACAGCTAAGTGTTAACACATAAAGGTCAGAGGTCTTCCTGGGAGAGGTCAAGATCACACGGGCCACCATGAACCGTCCAGCTCCAGTGGAACTGTGCCACAAGAACATGAGATTCCTCATCACCCACAACCCCACAGACAGCACTCTCAGCTCCTTCATAGAGGTAAGCAACATGAGTGTGTGACATCGGCTCACTGCAGAGCTTCAGTCAGAGAGGTAATATGCCCATATGGAAATCCTCTTCTGCCACTGTTTACCCCTCCAGGACCTGAAGCGGTTTGGTGCCACCACTGTGGTTCGCGTGTGTGACATCACTTATGACAAAACGCCGCTTGAGAAAGACGGCATCACTGTGGTGGTGAGGATACTACAACACACACACACACACTATTTGCTCTCTAAATCAGTTGTCCCTAACTGAAGTAGTTGTTAAACCCTCTGAGACAAATTGTGATTTGTGAATATGGGCTATACAAATAAGATGATCAATGAGTGACTGACTGATTGATAATAAGTGTTCTGCTTTCTTTTAGGATTGGCCCTTTGATGATGGAGCCCCACCTCCGAGTAAACTTGTTGATGATTGGCTGAGTCTGCTGAAGAAGAAGTTTCAGGAGGATCCAGGATGCTGCGTGGCAGTTCACTGTGTGGCTGGACTGGGACGGTAAGATTATTCTCCATTAAAACATGTGCACACACCTCCAAGTATGACGGAGAACAAATGCACACGCACGCACACACACACACGTATAAGCACAAAGGGGATTACCTAATCCTTTTAGTAAAGGCCTTTCAGGTTTAGTAAAAACCTGCGCCTCCCTAAACCTCTAAACCATTGTTATCAACTGCCGGTGTGACATCTGTAACCTGATCACTTGGTTTCTCTGAGATACAAACTATTTTTGGAGACATTAGACCAAACAGAATAATATGTGACTCTGACTCTGTGTGTATTCTTACATGCATTCAGGGCTCCTGTCCTGGTTGCCCTGGCTCTGATAGAGAGTGGGATGAAGTATGAGGACGCTATTCAACTTATCAGGCAGTGAGTACATTTCTACTTCACATCCTGTGTATTTATCCTCATGCAGTTACAACAACAAGCTTTTCTGCTTGTGAATTTGTCTATCATACATGGTTGCCTTATAGCAAGAAGGTTCTTGGCTCAAATTGAGGTTTGGACAGAGGCGATTTCAGATGTACTTTGCATATTCTTGCCAGGTCTGAGTAGGTTTTTTCCAACATGCAGATTGAAATTAGGGCAATGGAGATTCATCACAAAGCAGGATATTCTCCGCTCAGATGCGTTCACAGGAACTCACCTCATTCACACATTTTTTACCTTGGGGCTGGCTCGAGAAAGTCTGGAGCTTCTTACTTGAACATTCACTACATGTCTGAAAGCAGCTTAACAGGTTTAAAGCAGCTGTTGGCAGTCAGCATGCACAGAAAGCAACATTTATCACCTCTGACTTTCACCTTTTCACCTTGTTTGTGCGTTTGTACATTTTTAGGAAGCGTCGCGGAGCCATCAACAGCAAACAGCTGACCTACCTGGAGAAATATCGATCCAAGCAGAGGCTCCGCTTCAAAGATTCTCATACACACAAGAACAAGTGTTGCATCATGTAAACACACACACACACACACAAACACACACACACACACACTCACGTTCTCAGGAATCCAACCATAAGCCTTGCCTCACCTGCATCATTGGCCCATTAGTCTGGGTCTTTCTGAGATTTTTACGGTAATTTAATAAGACTCCATCTTTGTTCTTTGTTTGTAATGATTACTTTTCTTTTAAAGTTTAGTCTATTGCATTTTCGCTTCATTATACAGTTTAGAGCGAAGGAAGATGCGAAAGAGATTAGGGATGGAAAATCCCACAAATATTCAGTTTTGTCTCTAATTGCTTTGCTTTATTAGATTTATAAAAAACATGAAGTTGGGGTTAGGGATAATGTGATGAGGTTTTTGTATCACATTCAAATTCTCAATAAATCAAACCCATGGTGTGTGCGCACAGGGACACCTGAACAGATTTACTACATAAAACTGATGTATCGGCATTCAAAACCTATGTACAGATGTTCAATATTTTTAAACTTAACTATAATGAAGGAATGTAATTACATGCAGTGTTTGTGTTTCTTTGAGATTGTTTTTTTTGCTATGAGAAACCTTCAGATAAACCTTTTGAACTATTTTTGCAAGACGAAAATTTAAATCAGTGAAACCCAAGAATAACATCACCCCAGCAGCTCAGTGTTTTTTCAGTTTTCCCTTCTAACATTATTCCTGTTGATGTCTGTTATCGGTGTAACTGGAGATATAAGGGCTTGTTTTCATTTGGTTTTGTCACAGTCGCTGCTTTAATATTGCATCATACACTGTGCTTGAGTAATGTGTTTACATATGTGTGTGTGCATTACATGTTATGCTCTGTTAAATGACACCCACAGAAGGAAGCTAGGCAGCAGCTGATTTCATGTGGGGTTAAATATGGTACATGTGTTATAATAAATAAATCTACTGTAATCTCACATGACGTGAATTCAAGAGCAATGTATACTAGATGTAAATAATATTAAAAGTAAATCTCTCCCTCCATTCAGTGACAACCAACAAATGTGCAAAGACCATAAAATAATTTCTGGTATTATAAATAGTTTTTTGACATAATCATGTGGTCATGGAGAAACATCTGTCACCCCAGCAGTTAATGACAGTTGGAAGTCAAGCTCCTTCTAATCTGAGGCCATGTTTGGCCTGACATGAACGTGGATAAATTGAGACATTGCTCTAATTCTACTTCAAATGTTGCTGTGCATTGTCACGTCTTCTAGACTTGGTTACAGTATCTGACACACATTTCTTTCTTGTGAGGTGGAATTTACTTATTCACTTGTTTTGTTCCTGAATGATTCATGTTAACAACTGCTCCTGACACTTGGTTCATTGTTCATTCAGAACTGATTTGGGTTTTCTGTTAATAATAGAGCATGCACTTTAATGTGTTAGCAAGTTGCTTATTATAGTCACTTCATCTTCTGAGTTGCAAAAACACATCGACAACAATTTGTGAGAAATAAGAGCAGGGTTTGTAAAAAAAAAAAAAA